ACGTGACAAGCCTAGCCACTTGCCTTAGACCAGCAATAAACTTCTTGGCATCAACTCGCAGACGGCCGTTAAAACACACAAACAGGCAAATCCCGACATCGCACAAATGTATATAGGATAAACTGAAAATATTAGAATGCAGGGAAGCAAGCTAGGTATGCAGTTATTAAGTATTTTCAGCTACTCCTACAAATTTATCACGACTGGGCATCAAGTCATCGCATTTACCAAAGCGCACATTTATGTAGACGGCATGAAAAATTCGGTTAGTGCAGTTAGTGCGATTAGTGCAGTAGAGCTTTCAATTTTCTATCAGGCGAATAATATAAATTGCAAAAAGATGAGGTGCTGCAAAAATCAGTAGCCAAACGATTGTTGTTTCCTTCAGACTGAATACGCCTGATGCAACTGCAAACAAGAACAAGGGGAAAATGACTACTTTGCGCTACACTTAGAGAAGGCCAACACAACACCGATCACTGAAGTTCCAACTTGTGGTTTGGAATTCAATAACCAATCGGAGTACGATGTTACTTATATGCATGATAAATTCTGCTAACAAAGATGACATTGGAACATAAATAATGCAACATTACATATAATGTAATGCCATATTGCAAATGATAGAAAATCTTAAAACTATTCTGTTATATTTTTTTGTACTAAATTGTACTGCTTATGCCGTCAAAATGTGCTTCTTTAGTAAAAGCTGCTTTTAAATTTTAAAAAATACCTCTTCTTAAATATAAGATTTTGTGTATGACCACATTGGCAGGTCAAATCTTCTCAATACGGCTCGTCGGGCAAAGTCATGTTTCAATAATTACATTTTGAACTTGTCGTGCTCAATAAAGCAGTTTTTCATCAAAAACGTTTTGTGAAGGGGACGAGCAACTAAAAAGAATAAAGTCTGTTTTTACTACTTCTACCTAGCCTTGGTAATCTGCATATATGGATTATCGTGCCGCCAAGATTTGAAAATTGTGTTTTGCACTTGACAAGTATATTTATGTTCAGCTTGGGCAATAGCCGAATGTGGTTATTTGACGTGACTCTACTGCATTTGCACTTGACCTGATTTCGTCGAAAGTAAAATCTGTTTATAGCTTGCTGTCTTCATTACCTGGACTTGTTAGAGAACGGAGACGCTTGGCTTTTGAAGGACTTTCAGAGCGAGTTTGCATTAATTCACCTTAGGGATAACAGAACCGCTTTTGACATTTGTTTGAGCATAAAAATTACCTATTCACCTGTAACCATTTAATGGCTAAAAGATGCAAAGAAGTTATTTTCGAGAAAAAAAGACTTAACAGTTCACCTTTAGCTCAGCAAAAATAGGCCTTTCCTAATTTTTTTGATTATTGATACTCTGCTCTGGTCAGTCTGATTTAACTCTATTCTCTCCCCCTCAAATGCATTGGTTGAAAAAATCGCATAACAAATGAGACCCGAAATGCATGGGCAGAAGAGTACATGAACAATGAAGCTTTTACTGCTGTTGGGTCGCTATTTGCACTTAACTACTTCAATTCCCTTATTTCACCACGCCGAATGACTGAATAATCAAGAGAACTTCACTTTGTGCTTACAAATACACTCCACGCTTTCAGATGCACTGCACCTGTGCCCAATCCCACCTCCAAAGCCATCATTTTACTACGGCAGCATCAATTAACAATCAGCTAATCAGTAGGTTAATTAGTTAATCATTAAAGCGATGAATTTGCTGTACCGCTAAATTGCTCTCCTGTTGCTGGCGACGTACACAACATCCACCACCCCCTCGAAACTCCACCAAGGAACCTTCACTTTGGTTCATTCCTCCTTGTGTCTACCACAAATCATGCATTCGACATTCCCATTGTGCAGCTCTCCATCCTTTAATCCGTACGTCTTTTTGACACTGACTCAGCACATATAGGGCATGAGGGCTGTTTATCGCTGGATGCCTTTGTACATAAACGTCGTCATCTCGTTTTACCACTGCTATCTTTCCAATCACTACCACTGCTATCGAGATAATTAAAAAAGTGCTGACCAAGGAATCCCCTTCCCAAATTAATCTTTCCTTACTCTAGCCTTTATTCGACTTCTTCTACTCTCATCTAATCGCCCACATCTCCACACTTTCTCAGGTCTCATTAACGGCATTCTATCCGAGTGTGTTCCGACCTACCAATATTGTCGTGTACACCTTGAAGACATCGGCAGTGAGTTGCGAAGAAATAGTCCCGTTGTAACCGCCCTGACTAATGGCTAAAAATGCATGAGCAGGCGGAGTGGTAACACTTGCCACCCTCCTCGATGGGATGCGCCTCTGTCCCATCATCATCTGCAACCCCTGTAACTCCACATTCAACGGTTGAGCTTTCAATCGCCCAACTGGGGACAATGTTGGTGGAAGTAGAGGCTGATGTGGAGGACGATCCAGACAAGGAGGAAAAAGAGCAGGAACCAGAGGCTGCCATTGATGGGAATGGGCAAGTTGTTAAGATGGAGCCGAAGTAACAATATTGGAAACTCTACCTCCAAAATGTTTTAGTGAATGACTTACCTCTAGCAATCACCTGAATGCACAACTCTGAGGTGATGTTCCAGTGCACGGCTTTACTATTTTCCATTTTGCAAGCAAAGTTGAGTCAGTCAATCAGTCTTCGGTAAGGTTAGCCAGTAGACGGGCTAGTCGGCCGGCAAATTAGATAGAGAATGGGATAGCTGGAAGAGCAAAAAGATGAATGCGACGGAATGAACGTATGAATAAATGAAATAATAAATGAATGTAGAACTTTGATGCTAACAACATGGACTTGCAGATGGATAGATGGGTAAGTGAATAGATGAATAAAAAGTGCACATATGGATTGGTGCATTGAGGTAGTAAAAGGTAGGTGGCTGATGGGCAGACGGGTGTTAGTGATTATTTTCACTCCTCAGCCTAAATCTCAGTCACTGCACATTTCTCCTCATAGCCAACAGCCCGCAGCCCTTAGCTCTCCCGCGACCATTGCTGCGCTTTTTTTCTTTAATTTTTCTGCCTTTCCTTTTAAATAAGTTTTTATTTAAATAGGCTCGCGTTTTGCCGCTCTGCATTCTCTCCTTCCATTCCAATTGCCCATTTCGATATAAATGCGTCTGCAATTTTTCTTTTCTCCCTTCTACTACCAGTCCCAATTATACCGGTTTCTCGGTTGAGTGACTGATTCACTGACCGATAGATTGCCTACTTCACCGGCTTCCAGACCGGTAGCCAGATTGATTAATGTATTTGCTTGGAGCATTGGGTTCATACTCCCTTCAGCACCTTGCCCTTGTACCACATGATTGCTGCTTGGTGATGTGAATAACAGAAGGATCAGCTGCATAATGTTTTATTTAGAAATGGCTATAAACAATCAGCTCTGGTGCTATATAGCAAGAAAGCAGTTGAGGAGAGCTTGTTCAGTGTCAGTTGGCTCCTCTACCACCACGGCTACGACCATCCCCAGGGCATGCCACATTGTGGCACCACCCATGATGACCATGCACTCTTCTTACCACATTGTGAACCCTGTACGACAACAGTCCACAGTACCCACTTCCACGGATACAAACATGGCCATTTTGCTATATAACACTAGAGCTGATTGTTTGTAGCAGTTCCGAAATAAAACATTATGCAGCTGATCCTGCTGTGCTGTGATGAACAAAGAAGCCCTGGC